CAGAAAAAAAGTATCCCGACAGTGAAGTTTTCCAACACCGCCACAACTTGACATTTATATAATCAATTTGGGGAGGGGGGGGGGAGGAGGGGGTGGAGGGGGGTGAGCCTACAGTCTACTGAGGGAGGAGGGAAGCTTCCTCATATCCACAGCTCCGGCTATTTGGGATGCATGTAGAGCGTTGGTGCGGCCAGGTATCCAGGGCAGGTTGATCGCTGCAGATAATTCGCGGGGTAACCTTGAACACAGAGTGAACCCGGATGCTGCCACCCACCACCACCCAACTTCCCACTCAGCATCTGTTTAAAACTTGTGTGTGAGGGAAGATACCGTAGCCTGGCCAGCGTGAGGAAGTGTGCTCAATGTGTGGAGGATGTTGTGAAGGCGTAAGGAGGTCGCTATAGACAGGGTCCACTGTACCTCGCCACAGCCTTGAGAGCAATAGCACAAAAACTGCCAGGCTGGGGGCCCCGGGCAGGCACACCTTGTCATGCATTAAGCGTCCCTTAATGCGCAGTTTATGAGACGAGGCGATGTGTTTTTTTGGGGGGTGACCTCGCGTCTAGATGAATGAATGATGACGGTGACCATGATGACGACCCGTGACAACCTCCCCCCCTCACACACGTCAACCCCACCACCAAAAAAATAAACCCTACACGAGGTAACTGGCAACCCACAATGGTATCCTTGAGCGTCCATACTAACTTCCTCCTGTGCTGTGCTTTGTTCAACAAGGACACTCACCACATTCTCACAAGGTTTCCACCGCCACAATGTAGACCCCGAGAGAGGCCGGCAAGGTGGAGGTGACGGCCTTAACCAACATACCTAATGGAAAAAATACCTACCACCCCTTATATAACGTGGAGGGCCTCGCCTCTCTACCCTGTCCTGCTCCACCTTGTCCTGTGTACTACTGAACACCTCCACACAACACTGATCTGGCCGTAAACAGCGTGCGTGTGTGTGTGTGTGTTACCATATATAACTATAGTATATGGAGGACAAGTATTACAATTATGTATATAAGATGACAGATGACGCCAGCAAAAATAAGTTGTCAAGCACTATGAACAGCCATCTGGTGTATACACAGAGACACGCACACAAGAACCCTCTACAGTACAGCAGTCTCCCTCTTAGCGGTTCATCTCCACAACACAAGACGCGTCACATTCACACAGCTTCGTACAGTCCAACAAAAGATAACTCCCCCACACACAATCCCACAACTGTTTTATATAACCTAAACCATATAATAAAATTAAGTCAAAATTATATCAAAACTCAACCTTTAATTTGATCATTCATTTTACATCAGCTAAAGAATTAAATGTATTAATTGTTTTCCCATATCATCTCTCTGCCTTATCGCGTCTCACTGCAAAATTTTAATGCTATTTTTTATGTTAATCTTGTGTTTAAGCTACAGATAAAATGTTAGTTTTACTCTTATATTGTCAGCCACCGAACGAACCTCTTATAACCACAATCATCATACGATTTATGTTTTCAAATTTAAATCTACAATTTCAGTGAGACATTAATTTAAAAGTTGTTCTATATTCATTACTGTTTATTTTAATAAGTATTATGAATTATAACTATTTTAACATAAATCACAGAGTATTGTTTAATTTAAAGTATATTTGTATATTTTGTATCAATTATAAATATATTGGACGTGTCTGTAAACTATATCCATAAAAAACGACAGACATTTGGTACACCTCCACGCTATCAGACCTTACGGTGATAGCAGGAGCGACCTTGACAGCCCTGTTTAGTGGGTACAGACAAAGGTCAAACACAACCTGACAGCCACATCACCACACTTACTCAACTGTGAATATCAATACTGGAGCGTAACTAATATTCTGGACTTGTGGTTTTAAAGGGCGGGGGGTGGGGTGGGGCTAGTCAAGCTAACCTAATCCAAGCTTTGAACTAACCTAATCTAACCCAACACAAGCTTTTACCTAACCTCACCACACGTTCTACAGCCAAGACTATAAACAAAAACATGAAATGAAAAATATATAATAAACAGTACTTCAAAAAATAATACACATGTTTGTAACTACTTGGCTGTATGTTTGGACAAGCTCTAGGGAGGATACCAAGATGTGTTCCGCTGCGTACCCCTCAACAACCGCCCCTCACCCACCCACCCGCCATAGCACAAGTCACAGGAGAACTGCGGTAATATTTCACATTATCTAAATACTGCACATGCGTAATATATAAATTTCAGAGTCGTATTTTCACTAGATACAAAAAATAAATACATTTCAAAATAGATGGACTGAAATAAGGAGATTACCAAATAAGGTCTTTACGCACACGCAAACTCTACACTACGCATTCATAATTAAAAAAAAATAACTAAGGTATATCTTTTCATTTCATTGTAAAGATCTGGTAGTTAATATTTCTAATCGTGAATAATATGCACAAATTTCCTATATCTAACACGTTCATATTATACTGATTACTGAAATTTTTCCAAAATCCGAAAAAAATACTCAAACATTTCAAAACAGTGATTAACAATATAATTACTGTACTGTAGTTTTAACACAACTCTGTAGACGTCACATAATCTACAGTCCTAATCTTGATATATACACAAGCACTAACTTTCCCTCATAGTGTGTTTGTAATTATGTTCACAATTTTAGAGCCCTCAGCGATAACGACTGGCAAAGATTATACCGTACTGTATACTTGCTACACCCACAGTACACCAAGCTATACAACCCACAGTAATACTCTTGGCTATACACACCCACAGCAATACACTATACACCACTGCTACCAACATGACCTAATACAACTCCAGTAATACCAACACTACCGATGACTGTGAACCCATACCAAGATGTGTATCACCATTATCACCATACTTAACTTCACAAGCCGACACTACAACTATCACCATACTTAACTTCACAACCATAGCCACACTACCAATACTATTTTTTATTCAGACAGTCTTAATAGCATGGTAACCTAGCACTCACTAGCACAGCCCACAGCCATAGACTAGCTGTGTTACCCCTACCAACACAGCCGGCAACACATGAAACACACCACTGACTATACTAACCACAACACAAACCACATAACAGTAAACACTATATGCAACACATCTAATATACACAACTAGTTATACATGCAACACAAGCCAACAATAACACTAGTAACACTACGTTTGTGGGTAACACAATGTATTACATGTTATCATATGCCGCCAACATACAACACAAACATCACACCAACAACACGAAACACATTACCAAAACAACCCGCAACGCAACAATCACCACAACATGCAACTCAAGTCATCACAACACGCAACACACGCCAAAAAGACAACACAATCACCACAACACGCAACACACCACCAAAACATAACACAAATACCACAACACGCAACACAGTTCACCACAACACGCAAAACACAACACAGTCACCACAACACACAACACAATTCACCACAACACGCAAAACACGTCACCACAACACGCAACACAATTCACCACAACACGCAAAACACGTCACCACAAAACGCAACACAATTTACAACACGCAAAACACACATCACCACAACACGTCACCACAACACGCAACACAATTCACAACACGCAAAAAACACCACCAAAACACAACACAGTCACCACAACACGCAAAACACAAGTCACCACAACACGCAACACAATTCACAACACGCAAAAAACACCACCAAAACACAACACAAATATCACAAGACAATACCATAGAAGCCAGAGAGACAATCCACATTCCACCACCAACACAGGAGGAGCCTAGGAAGGAACGCCCAGAACCCAGGCCAGGTAACGACAGGTAAACACAACCCCTGGCTGGCACTTCAACAACTCTATGGTAATTAAAACTCGGATTTCGCACCACTCAGGTAGTTATTTATCGCATCAGAATTTATTAAACACTGAGATTTTCCACTTGTTGTGTTAGGTCACAGTATATGTTTGGACATCTAACGGGTAAAAGACAAACCATGTGGCGAATAATAATAATAATAATAATAATAATAATAATAATAATAATAATAATAATAATAATAATAATAATAATAATAATAATAATAATAATAATGGTTCTTTTTATTCTTCCACGGGTGCAGTTCTTTAAGAAAACACTTAAGAAAAATGAAAGTGAATTTAGCAAGAGAGAGAGAGAGAGAGTGTGTGTGTGTGTGTGTGTGTAAAGGCTCAAGATCAAAGAGATGAGTGTGTGAGGTTATGAGAAGCGAGTGGGCAAGGTTATCATGTAAATGTGACCACAAAAATTCAACCACCAGAGAGAGAGAGAGAGAGAGAGAGAGAGAGAGAGAGAGAGAGAGAGAGATTCATCTCATAAAACATCTATATATATATTTTTCTAGTCAAAATCTCACTACATAAACTATCCTAATGATTAAACTTTACTAAACAGATACTTAAAAGATGATTGGAATTATAGATAAAGAAATAAGAACTAAAACGAGATGAGTGAATTATTAACTACGAAAAAAGATGATAAATAAAATGTGTGTGTGACAAGGAGAGCTGCGACGGAGAGGGGGTAAGAGGGAGGGAGAGGAGGGGTGAGTGAGTTGGGAGGGAGTGGGGGGTGAGTGAGAGGAGAGGGAGTGGGGGGTGAGTGAGAGGAGGGCGGCACATAAATATTGTGTGTGAAGAGAAAGAGAAGGGGAAAAGTGTGACGGGAGGGGCGGAGGGGCGTGGAAGAGGGGAAATGTGAAGAATGGAGAAAATGAAATAAAAATACAAACACGTGGTACACAATGGTATATAATTTCATCTCATTGTATTAAGAATTTCCTCTCAATAACAAACACCAATATGGTATTATTTCCTTTGACAAAGGATCGCGTCTAAAACACTTTCATGTATACACAGTTCCCAGCATGGGTATTCGTAGAAAGAAAAGGTAAATAATGCACACATAATACATACCTATTGTAATAAAATAGGGGCATGTCGACACTTTGCACCATTATAGCTTAGCAGTTGTCACTAAGGCGCGCAACTCGTCTGTACGTCACAATATTCACCACACGCATTCATAAAAATGTAAGTTACCACAGAGTTGATCACAAAGCGTATTAATCCACACTGTTTTCACAATTGTCACTCGTTTTAGCTCACACTGTTGTCCAGGAAGTTCAGGTTCTTGAAGTAGAGTCAAAAAAGTGATCCGTCACGAAAATAATAATAATTTCTAAGAGGACGTCCGTTTTAGTGTTGCGAGAAGCACCATCACTAGTGAACTAAGGAAGGAGGATACCTGAGTAGTGCTACCTTTTGGATAAAGTTCACCATGAGTTTCTATAAGAGGATAGGGTACAGTACACCGCCGCTCCACCACAGCGCACCACCAGTTCCACAGATCCACTACCACTGTAAGTTTAACACAGCAGCTCAGCCACACTGCCAGCGAAAGTCCACCTCACAAGCGGGCGGCCTTGGCGCAGCTTTCCCACCCCTTAACTTTTACTTTTTCTCCGTATGGCCACTGTAGAGACATGCACACATATCTATATATATTTATCTACCATATAGTAAGCACTTACCTTATAAAACTACTGTACAAAACCAGAAAATTGGTAAATGATAAAGCTTGTGTGTTTACAACGCCATGTCTGCGATCGTATAAAACATCAACAATCGCCAGCCAATAGCCAGCCACGGTGGGCGGGGCCTGTGGGCTGCCAGGGGTCGCCACACCTCCCTCACTCCCCATTCATTTCATAGCAGCCTTCCTTAACTGCTATCTCCTAACTTACCAAACACAACACTATATGAAAAATAATGTAGATCTACTATGATAAACCACCAGCACATATAGACAACTATTTTAAACACTACTCTACAAAATAAATGGATAGATTTTTAAATAAAATAACAAATTAATCAACATGTGTACAACTGGACACCTTTCTCGCTCAAGCTGGTCTACATCACATTTGAATAATAAGCTATGATTTAAAACCTATTGTGATAATTAGGAAAAACACTGAAATCAGGAGTAATTAATTAGCATCAGATATATTGTTCTCCTTCAAATTGTGTGGTAATATAAGGAAAGGTCACGAGTGTGGTGGTAGTGTGTGGCGAGGCAGCTGGTCGCAGGCTGGTGAGAGCAGCCGTAGTTACCTCACAATATCGATCTGCCTTTCCTGCGTATGTCAGACCTACCCGCTTGGCATTGTTCACAACGGATCCCAGTCAACAGCTGCAGCGTTTGTGACTCATACATTGCACCATAACACGTGTTCATTGCAATTTATGGACTGAATTTCCTGACCATCTGCCCAACATAATGTATTTGTCTAATAATATGGTTTTAAGAGACGCCGCGTAAAATGCGTATGTTTTTGACACTACATATGGTTACGCCAACTCCGTACGCTGATGTAGGCTATTCAAGAGCGTATTTATGGGGTGTTATAAGGACGACTCCCCCCTTGAAATTTCGATAATATTTCCTTGATAATATTAGTACATTAAATAATAGTGGTATGCAAATCCTCTTATTTTTTAACTGTATCATAACCAGAAGCATCAGGCATTTACTTTATTTGAATTTTTAATATTGAGTATATGTAAAAATGATGTCATAAATTGTGACGATATAAACTGACACCAATTATTATTCTTTACCTGCCTCTATAATGCAAGTTATAGGGAGATGTTGTTATAGCTCTACTTGTTTATAATCAATATATTCAGTCACAAGTCATTCCTAGGTTGTGTTACAGGTCGCCCTCAAGCTTACTGTGGTAATACATTTGGTTCAGTAACAAACGTTGATTATACGTTATTATTGTGTACATTTAGTGTTCACTGATGTGTGGTTGACTTGTTGGTTGACAGGAAGAACATTTTGTAATTTATTATGGTTGTTATCGAGAATAGGCTATTAACCTCAGTGAAGTACAAACATAACATATACAGTAAACTGAACATCATTATAAACAACTTCAACATTTAGTACAGGCAGAAAGAAATCATAATATTATTTCTATTTTTTCTCTCTAGGATTTGTTTAAGATAGTCCAACAACCCTTAAATATAACTTCTGACATTTTTGTAGTATAACCGACCAGAATGAACTGTGACGTCATGAGTTGGTGATCACGTCCCGCCGGAATACTTCTTTACGTTGAATATCTTAGAAAATTGAGTCATGTGAGTACTAATATTCATTATTGTTATGTCTCAAGAAACTAGTAAATTCCATCACGTTGAAAGTAAGAAAAAGAAAGAATAGAAGTTAAAATATATTAGTAATGGACCAGTAAACACGACTCACTGTTTCCCACGTTACCTCAAAAGTTCTGAGGCCCATTTACCTCATATTTGGCGTACCGATATCTTATTTTGTGCAATGTAATATTATTTGATATTTGTTCATATTGTTCTTGATGTAACAGGATTTAGTAATTTAAGATTGTTGCAGAATTAAGAGGTTTTAGTCGAGCATTACTAAATATTTTAACCTCAATGTTATTCCTCCATTAACATATAACTTATTTCCGTATATTTTAATTGTTGTTGTTTAATGTATTGACCTCATTAGAGAACGCATTTAGAGGCATTAATTGTTAAAGCGCAGACATAACAGCTGAATGAGATAATTTTTATATTGTGGTGGCGGTGTACTAGGCTATGTGCAACCCTCAAGCCATAGTGAAGGTATCTGTACTACATTCCGAAGCTCAAACTTGTAATAAAAAAAAAAAAGGGCTGTTCTGTGTTTATATAATTCATCAGTTCGTTGTAATCTGTGCACAAAGAATAAAAATGATTTGGGGATTAAAATAAACAGGTACAGAGATAAACGTAGATATTTATGACATGCATATTCAGAGCAGATATTCATACAATGTACTTACTGTAGATAGTGAAGGTGTACACTGTTTAGTATTCTGTAGCTAGTTACAAAAAATCTTAACTGTTTATGTGATTACAGAACAGATTCGTAATACGTAATACATTATAATTATATCATCAGTGTAATGGAATCAGAAGTAGAGCATTATTCAGTTTCTTTAAGCGTAATAAATATCAATATGGTTACGTTACTCAATACGTTTGCTGGAAAATGTACCATACTGAAGTGATTATTACAGTTAGTGAGCACACTCCAAAAAGTATCTGTACGATTTTGTGTTAGACAATATTATGACACAACGGACGAAGGATTTTGACAACCCTACCGAGACAACAGGAGTCACAGTGTTCATTTGGATATTTATGGAACCGGTTAAGTTACTTTTTGGAGTGTGTTACAGTGTGTTCAGGAGTAACCAGTCCGTGTAGTGTACCCAGAAATTACTAACCTCTTGCCATATACATAGACAGCAGGTAACCAGTAAATGAACCATGATATCTGATAAATTGATTGACTAACCAATAAGAAACGACTTACAACCACAAAAATTATCCCCACGAGAGAAAAATACTAATTTGCAATATAAAGTGTTGGATTATCGATAGAAGTCATTTTTATTTTGCGCAGCTCTGAAAATCCAATATCAATCCTTAGTCTTATTTGGGCGTTAATTATATACCACAAACACATATTGACTCTAACAAGTCTAGTATAGTAACGTATAGCAATTGTCCTTCGTCCACACCCTGAGAAAACTTTAGTCGCCATGAAACATTTTAACAATCCAAACTCGACTTCTTTTACTCAATTAAGCTTATTTTGAGATTGGGTTTCTCATAAGAGCGTCGTTTGGGCTGTAATGTCGGAGCGTAACGAGAATAGGTACAGGAAGTGGTGGTAGGGAGTGAGGGCGCTCTTTCAAGTAACGGGAATTTAGTCTGGCCACACCTGAGTGACTTGGTGATGACGAAGGATTCACTAGTGTTCTTTTGGCGCCTTTTTTTGTCTCCAGTAGTGATCAATAACGAGGCTGTGATCTTTACCCTTGTTTACATAATGATCCCTGACTACCAGACACCAATATTCACTTACTTACATTTCATCGTTTTTACAGATTATCTTGGATTAACCAATGACCAAAACCACTTTTTATTTCGGATTATTTACAGTCAATAATTAATACCACAATCCCATTTTTTCTTAATTATTTACACAATAGAAAATATATGTGATGGGTTTGAAGATAGTAAGATTGATGTAATGTTTCATGAATTATAGTTTTTTGACAAGGACGGTTACATCACTATTACATCTGAGTCTTCCAGTAAATAATTGTACACGACAATACAACACAGCCCTGCAGAGTTCAGTCTCAAAGATTCCTACTCTGACGTAACTAAATAGCGCTATCTTATTTCTAGTTGGTCCTAGTTCATTAAATAATCCCCGTAGCTGTGATTAGAACACAACATCTAACTATTCAATTAAAAACAAAAGTATAACACCAATATTAAATTACGACTTTACCTCAACCAGATACGTTCACTTAACATTACTTACGATGTTGATGTTATAAGCTTCACTAAATATGGTCTTTAAGCGTATATTTTAGGTTGGTAAATAAATTAATCATCAATACTAACAAACTCATGAGAATTCTGAGTTGACTGTGGTACCCCGGTGGCGCCATAGTACAAGCATAGCCTGATAATATAAGCAGAAGTGAATTTAAAATCTTATCTTGGCAGCCTCGGTTCTCATGCCTGTATCTTGGTATTATTATTATTATCATTACAAACTCATATTCATAATTGTTAGTGGTGCTGGTTACAATTATGCTTATCCAATCATCTGCATCTCATTAGCTCTTGACCTTAAGACAATGGGTGAAAAACTCACACACGCTACCACACACACAGAGCTCTACCTAAAATGACGAGGCTATATCATCTGAACATTGACACCTTAGCATTCAACATAATGATTGCGTTAACAGACCCAGATGCTAAACAACACCTCGCTGGTGACACACTGTAACATTAGTTTCTTTTGTTGTCGAATTATTGACAGTTAGACGATAAGATCAATTTTTCTTAATCTTATCAGTGGCAGGTGTTGTGGAGCGATGACGGGAGAGTGGCAGAAGAATGGGAATGAATAGATGAAATAGATTAACAAATGGATAAATATAGAATATGTTATGAAAATAAGAATAATAAAACTAATCTAAAACCGATATTCTTTTACGCTCTTTCGATAGTCATGCGTTTTAAGTCGTACCAATAAAACCATTAATAGTATGTACTATCTCAAGGTATAGATCTGTTTGACATTTGTACTTGTCATATAGAATAGTATACTGTACACCACTCTTTCTATATTTAGCGCCTTTGATATTTGATAATAGAATTGGCGCGCTTGAGTTCCTGGTCGCCCATGTAGTTTGTATAGCGCCCACCAGGTTGAAGTCTTCAGTTTGTTTACATACAGTGTGAGTGCAGCACGAGCTTATATACAGTATACATTTCCAACGGGTGTTCCATTTAATTATTTGATTCTT